AGGTATAGGCCCAACTTAAACTTTGCAGTGAATATTCAAATGACTCAGAGAAGCCATGACGGAGTGGCCGAGCCAGTCTCCAGACCTCAGGTCTGTAGGTGCAGAGAGCTGAAGCTTCAAGTGTCCAAGCGACAGCCAAGAAACCTGAAAGATTTCATTCCTATAAAGAGGAGTGGGCCAGATTCTCGCTGAGATGTCCGCAAACCTAGAGACCAACTACAAGAAACGTCTTACCACTGTGCTGGCTTTGGTATCATTATTTTTTTGTGGATTTTTGGTTGATATACAGTTTGAACTTACGTTAAAAGTTAGAGACTGTTCATTTCTTGGTAAGTTATAGCTCAGACATCCAGAGGGATCTTAGAGTATAGCCGCTGCTCCTGTGTGTTAATAGGTGGGTTTGGTAAGGATGCTTCCTGAGTACTTCCCTTGGGAGACTTTCCAGGTAAGTGGAAGATAACAGATGGATGGACAGTTGCAAGTAGAAACATGTAGCGGTGGTCATAAATTACTGCACTTGGACACTTGATGATTGATTGATTTTTGTGCTGGTAGTCAACTCAGACACAGAAAAGGAGCTACTGACCAAACCAAAACGAGACCCGGGCTACTGAACTTGCCAAACGAATAATTAGCTGGACTACAGTACAAGGAAATGAATTAAGGTGTGACCAAACTACACTTTGATAGTGACCGTGCTTATGAACATGACAGTAATGGCATGTTTACATTTCAGCACTTGTAAAAGTTGGCATGAATGTTAATGTAAGCAAACCTGGAAATGCATTGTATGATTTTGTGCTGCTCTGTTAGCTAAACACCACTGCAACGGCTTTAAGTGTGTGCAGCAAACCTTTGATCCAGACTTTCATGCAGCTTCAGTTTCTGTCAGCTGGGTCTGGTTTGAAGGACGCATGTGATGACGGTACATTACAGATAGAAAACTTGAAGTGGAACATGGTGATGCACGAGCATGCTTTTCATTTATTTTGTGTCTCTTGCGTATCCGTTACCCTCTGCCTAAAGGTTTTACAAGGTAATTACACTGGAAGAAAATAAGGAAAACTAACTAATAACAGACAATGAAGATAATGAAGGGAAATTAAAATGCTCAGCAGTTAAAATCTGCAATTCTCCAGTTCAATGCTGAGAGAACAAGGTTACAAGTTCAGACATAGATCAGCTGAACTTTTATATAAAAGTATAAAGGAAATAAAAATGGACAATGAAATGCCTCATTTAGTACTCGTCAGTAACTATCAGTTAATCTGGTCCTTGGATGATAGCAGCGAGGAAGTGTACAGCATGTGCCCTATTACAGGCCTATTTCCTGTTTCCTGCCTTACCTCAGGATTCTGAACACATACATGTAAGTCACATCTCGTTCTTTATAGCCACTCTGTTTTCCCTCTGTTGTTGCCTCAGATGTGCCTGTGGCCTGGCTGTAAGTGACAGGTGGTCGAGCAGGTCACCTACTAACTGGAAGGTTGGTGGTTCAATCCCAGTCTGCTCCAGTCTGCATGCCAAATATGACCATGTTGCTCTCCAATGCATCCATCGGAGTGTGAATGTTAGATAGGAAGCAGCATAGAAAAAAACGTGAATGTGCAAGTTGTGTAAAAAGCTTTGAGTGCTCAGAGTAAGAACCAGCATTTCAGAGTAATGGTACCTGATGTAGTGTTGGTTTGTTAGTGTGTCTATCTGGACATTTTGGAGAAGAAATTATTTTTAACACCAACAGTAAAATATCCAATAATAAGATAAGGTTGAATAAGATAAACACCATCAGTAGTCACACAGTGTGAGGCTTTTTGGTGTCCACTTCCATGTTACACCCAAACTGAAAGTAATTCATGGAAATCCACCGAATCCTTAATTCAGACTTCAGATTGTGGAAAAGCAGCAGTACTTACTGTCACCAAAGGTTCTCCATAAACAAGGACTGATGCTGAAACCATACCACAGCACAGGAGTTACGATTTTATCATCACGTTTTTAAGGCTCTAATCAATTCGTAAGGGTCTGATTGTTATAGCTGATGAATATACACATATTCACAAAGGCTTATTTAGGATTGTAAACAAGACCCGTCGTCTTCAGAAAACGACTCTGTCGTCATCCGCAGGAGGAAAAACGCAGCCTCAAAGCAGTGCAAACCCTTGAATAAACCTAGCTTGCAAGCAAACAGAGTTCAGTGTGCTTGCAGTTGTAAGATGTGACATCTGTAAAGGACAGCATGCACTGACTACGGTTTCACTTTGTGACCGGAGATCACATGACTGTGATTTGACTCCAGCTGCGGCTCAAATCTGATTACAACAGACAGAAGCTGCTTTCATCTGAAACTCGATGACTTTGGTGACCATTTGAGTTTCATTCATCTTTGTGTTCGACTGTATTGGCCTAACTGTGGGTGATTCTGTCTTGGTCTGGATTTTCCCAAACCTGGTCTCCATCAGCCCAGTCAAGCTGAAGCACAACACATGCGATCTTTAAATCCACCATACGTATTGAAGCCATTTGTATAGCATGTCGTGTCCCTACCCGAGCGTTTTGACTTTTCTGACTTCAGTTATCTGATGAAAGTACAGCTATGAGAGAATTTCACATTTATTTATGGTGTTTGTGTAGCACTCTGTACACAACCTGGTGCACAACCTGACACTCAGAGAAACAAAAGGCTACAGTTTAAATTGATGATCGTCACAACTTGGTGCATTTTCATCAAGCAAAACACAAAAGGTTGATTCTTTCAGGACCTCAGTTTAGTTGTTCCAGGAAACTAAAGAGTAAAAATCAATACCTGCACATGTACTTCAAGCAGAGAAATATGAGAAATACCATCGCTCCATCCCGGTAGCAGTGCTTCTGTCTTTTCAAAGGCAGGTGGAAAAAGTGTCTAGTAGGCTGTTCTGCTCTCAGCTAATGCAGCTAATGCTGCCTGCAGTGGAAGTCGGGACAGTAATGTGCAGAAATTGTAATTATAGAAAGTCATAAAGAGCACTGAGCTGTATCAACTCTGTATCCTTTTCACCATCTGTGGACCTCCTGTCTGATGGCATCAGGTTGTCTCAAACGCTTCCTCTGAAGAGTGCCGAACATGTGACTGTCGAATGAAGACTATGCATTTCCTCATGCAGCATCGTGTTTTTAAAAAATGTGTGATGTTACTTATACAGCAACATCACACCATAACCCTCCACCATTAATGCTCATTCTAATGGAGACCGCTGCTTAACACAACCTATTAGTTTCAAGCACATAATGAATTGAAGTGCAGATTGTATACAGGGCCTGACCAAAAGATGTTACTACCACATGTAACCTCAGATTCCAGGCACCTACCACCCAGGGAACAAACACTCAGGTATTCCTGTTTGCATCCAGACCTTTGGTGATCCTTATCTTGAGATGGTCCTCAGGAATACCCACACGCGTGTTCAGTGAGTGTTAATCTGACCTCTGCTTGACTTCAGTTTTTATTCATTTCTTTTTAGTTATAATGTGTTGAAGCCTGCATCCTGACCTGTTCATGATAATATTTGCATCCTCCAATCGTTTTATTAACCTTGAAGATATTTCATGCTGACACTTTTTTATCGGCTGTGCAAGTGTCAGGTGTAGCACAGTGACAGTACGTGAGGTTTGATCGGCGTGCAGTGAGAGGATACGTGCTTATGTGAGCAGAGAGCGGCCCTCCATGTTCTTATCAGTCCAATCTCAATCAGGTGGAGTCCTCTTGTTGTGGCTTCAGCTACAGGAAAGTGTGATGCATATGTGGCCTCCTGAGGACAGCTGCTCAAGGACATTCAGCTTCCTGCTTTCTCGTCTTACTGTAGCAAGTTACAGTTTCAGCTGCACCCTGGTCAGGTACAGTAACAGCCAGATAGCGTGCTGCACTGTGCACTGTGGATGTGCTGCTATGGCTTTGATTCATTTATTTATTATTCATTTTTCAATAAACCGTTGCACTGACAGTTGTTTATCAGACTCAGCATCAGATGTATCGCCCAGTGAAAAGACAAGAGACATTATCTGAATTTTAAAAGCCAAATAGTGAAGTTAACATTCTGTGTGGGTCGTCCTTGTTGGTCTCGTTGGCTGTTAAGCCTCTCACCACAACCCTGTGAGTCATTCTAGCATTAAAAGCTCAAAGGATGAATCATCCTGTCAGTGTAAAACATTTAATCCCTGAGATATTTTAATATAACAGTACATCTAAGTTTCTTTACATGATAACGATGTAAAAGTTAGCTCACCCCCCAGTTTTGTTAATTAACTGTGAGACCACAAGAATAAAAACATACATTTTATAGTAGATGATGGAAAAACAAAAGCTTGTCTCTCGTCTCAGTGTTTGTCTTTCTCTTCTGTGGTGTCGTGTGGACGGCAAAGTCAGGCAGAGTCTTTATCGTCACAGAAAGCTGTGAGACGTGCAGGCCGGATTGGAGTCTTTGCCAAACCAATTCTGGGACCCGGGCCTTATGTTGGACACCATGATTGTGATGATGTCACATGATCTTTGTTGGCACATGAAGTTGTTGCATGAGTGCAGTTGTTTTAAGTGCTGCATGCATTATAAACACCTATTTTACACAAAGGAGCATCAGTGCAAATAAGAACTGCTACTAAGAGTAACCTTTAGCTGACAAACAGTGAAACAAGGACGTTGCAGCAGAGTTGAACGCCTGGTGTGTGCAGTGTGTTGTTTGTGTGTTGGATGCACACTAACAAAACCTCAGAGGGAAAGAAATGATACCTGGACCCTGAGACGTAACATGAGCATGTAACCACTAGATGTCATCCTGCACAGAGGACGAGAACTGAGAGCTGGCAGCCTGTGCAGTTTCATTTAATCTAACATTGGGTGATCACTCCTGTACACTTTATGTTTTTAAAATGACGAGCTGTGAGGAAAAGACGCTGTTCAGAGATGTGTGTGAAGCTGCTCTGTTAGATAACGAATGACTGAGCGTTTGTTTCTGTGTTTGGGTAGGTAGGAACCCAGAGGTCTGATGAGGCTCTGAGGATGACGTCTTTGCCTTGAAGCCCCACCAGTATGTCAGGTAAGGCTCACACTGCCAGCTTCACTCCAAATATGATGGAACCTAAAGAAAAGTCTTATTATTCTCTATTTTTTAGTTGGTGTGAAAGTTGATGTGAAAACTAAAAAAACAGCAAATACTCTGTTTTACTGGTTAATTCTGATCACGTCGGGGAAACAACACTGAGCAAAGTACAAGCGCACAGGTTAGCACTGTTGTAACGCGAGTAATCCAACGCCGAGTGCTTTCAGAACACTGTGTTAGACAACAGAAGCAAAGAAACATATGTGACTTGCTACACAGTAACCAGCAGAATGACTTTGTGTCACCACTTCTCACTGAGCCGGTTTGACATCAGGACCTCTGCTTCACAGTTTATTTGTCAGCTGCTCGGCAACGAGGTCAGAAATGAAGTGTGAGGTTTGCTGTGGCACCCAACAGTTTCTGCACATAATCTGACAGCAGTCAGTCATTCAGCCTGGTGTTAAACAACTGAGATAATAAACCATTAACTCCTCAACAGTTCTTTAAAAATCAGTTTTTACTGCAGTTCAGGATCAAATTAGTAGTGTGCAACTCCATTAAGCTAATATTTGCTTTAACATGTACAGTATGACAGAGTTGAGTCCGATGTGCAGATCCAGGACAGACTGCATGATGGTGCTACAAGCTGTGGAAGCAGAGAGGAAGCAAAAGGGAGTCGAGACCTAATAATAAGTTTAAGTGTTTGAATTATGACCATCCTTTTACAAGAAGGGATTTGGAAAGTACAACAAATGAATTTGCAACAATAGGAACTTGATTCGTATCATAGCTGCAGTTAAAACTGCTGCTGCGTTACCATGAAACTCAACTTTTCTAAAACCTATTTTTAAACTGCATTTTCATGTTACGATAGCAAAGAAACAGAAACAAGCACATAACAAATGCTAGTGAAGAAGAAATCACCAAATATCAGTATTGGTCTTAGAAATAATCCACTTTTTCCATTTCCTGACCTGTTATTAAATGATTGCTCAGCCAGTTTTTCCCTCGACTGTAGCTGTTGGCTTTAAAAACATGGTCAGGTCTCAATAATCAGCTTGTAAAGATAACCTAACATTTTAACCTGGTAGCTGTCACTGACAGAAGATGCTCACACTCGTAGCAGGGAGGCCCCTTCGAGCAGCAGGACTGATGCAGTGTTTGTTGGCAGAGATCAGTGACCAGTACAAAACCCCGACCACTGCATGTCACACTCTACACTTTGGTTGGACAGTGATAGTCTGCCCTCACCACCAGAGGTCCACGTTGTGTTAGAGTGATAACAATGTTTTAATCAAGGTGATCAGTGTTAAACTGTGAAAAGGTCTCAGCTTGAGCCTGATGGCAAAATCAGCTCTTTTCCACACACACACATATTAACCATTCATTTCTATAACATGGTTCATCCCTGTTCACACACACAGCAGCACCACTTCATTCGGCCAAATCAAAGCATCAAAAAGGCAAAGAAATGTGAAGATGGCAGGACGCTGCACGCAGCCATGCTGCCCTATATTAAACAGCCAAGACAGGATGTAGCTCTGCATTTATTTACTTAACTAGCAAATTGGGCATCAGTGAGGTCAGCGGGGCTGGAATTGGATTTAACCAGCCTGGGCGACCTCAGTGACCTGGCCATCCCTACATAGCCGACAGACTTACACTCACATGTTATCACACTGACAAAATGAACTTAAGCTTTCATTCACCATGTAAGCTCCAAGGGGACAACGACTGCTTTGGTATCTGAGATGCTGTTTTAGTTTTTACATGAACCTGCTGCTCTGTTGGAACAACTTCTGAAAGCTTTTAAGTTCATGTACGAAGCAGAGCAGCATTAGCTTCTCTCTCTCTCAGCTGTTTTATGACAACGTCGCTTGTGTTTTTTAAAGTGCCTCTCCCATCTATTTTAGAGCCAGCAGAAAAATGCTCCCCCCGCTGGAAAGATGAGGCCATTCAAAATGGTAATATTTCTCCTCCCTCTCTACACTGCTGTTTCCTTCTTCTGTCAGCATGGCGCAGCTTTGGATTTGTTAAAGAAAAACTTCGAAAGGGCTTCAAAAACTGGAATTGTTTGATTTAAGAACATTTTTGTGTAGATTCAGTTCAAAATAAATCATATCCCAGTCGTTTCAGTTTCACCGATGTTGGGAAGCTGCAGACATCACGTTACAACACGTAGAGTAACTGAACACAGACGTTTAAACATCAGCTCATTTAGAGTTTGCTTTCAAAAAGTGGGACATTCACTTATTGTAATAATAATAACAATAATAATAAAGAGGAAAGAGGTTCAAAATGTATAAGTAAGTAAAGCTTTATTTGCACCTTTAACCCTTTAGAGCCGGTCGGAGCGGGCACGCTCTGTTTTGTGTAACTATTTTTAAATCCCGGTAGCTCTGCAACCACGTAAGCTAGCGCAATAATTTGTTTTGCATATGAAACCGGAGGAGTTGTACTTGCATCTGATGCCATCAGCTTGTCCTCGGTCACGGTTTCCTTCCACATATAGCTTTGCAAAAACTGCATAAAAAGCGCTTGCATCAACAAAAACATAATATTCCAGAAACACGCTTTACCGATCCATCAGCTGTTCATAACACTTCCTACTTGGAATAGACGTCAGCGCGAACTTTCGCACGTCCGCCTTTACCTGCCCGAAACCGGAAGTGACGTTATTTTCGTGGAAATGTAGTTTTTTACCATCAGGGCCTCATGAGCCTATGCTGGTGTTTTTAAAAGTTATCTTTGACTTCATGACTTTCTGTGTCGTTTCTGGGATGCTGAGGACTCATATTTCACTGCTGGAAATAGTTTATTTTGATGCACATGCTGCTTTTTTGCAAATTTGCAGTATAATATTTATTTTCGTTTTTCCTGCAGTGTATAAAAATTGGTGTATTTCAAAAATAAAACTATGAAGACACTCAAAATAAATTTCCTGTGGTGGGAAACTATTTTGTGCAACTTTTTTGTATTTACAGTTTTGAGGGATAAGCCTCTTAAATTTCTCTAACTAGAAATATATGTTAAAAAAACAAAAACGATTTTCAATTTTTTTGTAGTTTATTGCACTTTTTTGCAATTTATGTAATTAGTATGCACTTAATGCATGCATATTATTAAAATTTGGGCTGTAATGGTTGTATTGATGTATAGCAACTTGAAATGCTCCCAAAAATGGCTCCACAGCATGTAAAAATATAATATAAGCTCTGGCGGACTTGGTTCTATTGTAGGTCTTAAAGGGTTAACCAGAACCCTGAAAACAAAGGTCAGTCGAACACAAGTCTAAAAAGCTGACTCTCAGCTGTGTGGAAGAGCCCACAGAGGGAGAGATTCTGGGGTCACTGTTACTCCTTCATTTTCAGCGTAATGCACAGCCCTGATCACATGACCCAGGGACCTGCTGAGCACATACTCAGATGTGTGCAGGTTCTTTTCCATGCAGAGCTCGAAAAGTGATATGTGAGGACGAAGAAGCCTCGCCGCAGCATGCTGGAGACATTTGGCTTAGACTAGTGAACAGTGAATTACAGTGTTGAAATATATGCACCAATAACAGTTTACAGTTCAGAGTGTGACACTGTGGGATTAACTTGGCAATATTTCATAAGTGGTTTAAAAACAAGAGTGAAGCAGAGATTTGACACGAGCATCAATGTAAAAGTGTGAAGTTACCCGGAGACAGAGGGTTTAGCAGACGTATGCAAGGGGACCAAAGGTTTCTATTACCTTAGACACAAATCTGTCAGGAGCACAAACTTCTGTCGGAGAAAGCTGTCAGCCATCCAAGCTTTAATAGAGTCTAAGCAGCTATGCAGGATCTGTAGCTTGGAATCATCTTGGGGCTTAAGGAGTGATAAGAAATGTCCTTAAAAGGTGACAGGGTTGCATAAGTGCACATAGCAAACCTATAAAGATCCCATAATTATTATTATATTCAGAAGGAGCTTTCCTTCCTGAGACAGTGCTGACCACATTCTGCACATATACCAACACCGTGGTTCCACAGCACTGCAGCCCTGTCACCCACTGAAAGCTGAAGAAGTCGACCCCGAACTGCTGCACAGATGAAATGCTGTGTCAGCAACTATGAGAACACATTTGGCTCTTAAAGTGTGTCCTTGCAGAATGATGTTCAATAAGTGATAGTGTGTGTGTGTGTGTGTGTGTGTGTGTGTGTGTGTGTGTGTGTGTGTGTGTGTGTGTGTGTGTGTGTGTTCATTGTTCACATATCAGGAAGTAATCCAAATCATCAGGTCATTAGCAGCTCCTAAAATCAAAAACCTCAGATGATAACAACACATGACCTATTATAATCACATGACCTATTATAATCACATGACCTATTATAATCACATGACCTATTATAATCACATGACCTATTATAATCACATGACCTATTATATCCTATTATTATTTCTTTAATAGAAATGAAGGAAACCAGCAAAAGCCATGTGTGAAAAATAAAGTCTGCAGGAATCATTTTCTGTATGAAAGCATTTCAGTCAGGTTCAGACGTTGCCACGGCAACACATTGATTTTCCTTTCATAAGTAATTGTGTTATAGATTTGATGGTGAGTTCACTGCAATCATTCTTACCCACACTAAACCCCTGTTGCATTTATGGGACGTGGATACCAGCCTGGTTTGGTGCACCGTGCGTCTGTGACCAGATCACTTCATTACACTCTGATACTGAGACAACCTTACAAGTGAAAGAGGTCTTTGTTCTTTTTAAAATTACATTTTAAACATGTTTGTAATAAAGCTACAGGTAAGTGGGTGTTGTTTTGTATAAGAGTGCACTACGTTGTTGAAATATTCATTGAATATATTCAAACTGTTGCAGTTTAACACGCCTACATGGAACTTCTTTCCTTTTTTCATCCCCTCAGATCACCATCGTCTGCTCGCAGACCACCACAAGTCTTAAAAAAATTAAAAATTTAAAAAATGTACAAAAAAAGGAGAATATAATATATCCATCCGCTTATCCTTTTCTGGGTCGCGGGGGGGGGCGCTGGAGCCTATCCCAGCTGTCATAGGGAGAGAGGCGGGGTCCACCCTGGACAGGTCGCCAGTCTGTCGCAGGGCCAACACACAGGGACAGACAACCATTCGCACTACGGGCAATTTAGATTTTTCCATTAACCTATGCCCACTAACTGCATGTTTCTTAGCTGCTCCAAAGAGTGACTCACTTATACGTGGACTATTGAATTCAGTCTGTCTTTTAAGACCCTACTGATTAATGAGGAAAACATTTAACTAAACTACCATAAATATGTTCAATTAATCAGTTTAAATGATCTTTCTGAGTTAAGCTCAATAGTCACCATCAGCGTCCCCTTTAGACCCCTGCTGACATCAGACTCAAAGAGGCTCTGTCATTAACTGATGCTTCATCTCTGATAAAGAGTTATGTACCTCAGGGTTTTAAGGTGTTGGTAACTGAACCAGAACTTAAAAATGGTCACTTAAAAAGCAGTAACATGGCCAGACTTTGTTTTATTTCTAAAGTTCCTGAAAGAGTTGCTGTAAAAGAGCTAACTGATCAAATGCAGGAAAGTGGTTTATTAGAAGAAAGAGGATTCAGAATTCATCACAGCCCTAAAAATTGTAGAAACATCTGCATGACTTTGGCCTCCAGTAACACTGTGAGGAATCTTCTTTAGTGCACATATTAAATATGCAGGACTGATGTCTTTGCACAATACCTCTAAAATTAGAAAATAAAAATAAAAAACTCAGGGTGCTGCTGAAAAACTAGTTCATGTATGTATAACTCCAGACTGAACTAATTCATTATTATCAGGGTTTGGGGGTTTTTTAAGGTTCCTGAAAAGCAGCTGAGCCAAAATGCTGCAGCGAGAGTAGAGTAGAGTAGAATAGAATAAACCTCTGTACTGACAGGAACTAGAAACAGAGGGTAGATTTCTCTATATTAGGTTCTTTTCAACTCCCACTGTACCCAAGTGCTTGCTCATTGGGGGTCATCTGGGGTTTTCTGTAAGATCAAATTTTAATTATAAAATAAAGTTTCAAATGACCTCAGCGCGTCAGTCATCTTCAAGAACTCAGTTAAATTTCTTCCATATGCTAATGAACAAAATAAGATCACTGAAAAAAGAAAACTGCTACTTAAACTTGAATTAAAGACCCACGGTTCTTCTTAGAAATCCAAATGTGTTTGTGAGTACCCAGGGCGTGTAAGGGTTTCTTTAATTGTAAACACACTGGTTAATCTGGTTGATCTGACTTATGCTTGTTACCACAAATAACTTCCAGTATGAATGAACTTTATGCAGAACAGCAAGGCCAGTCTCACAAGCAGGGAAGAGTTTAAGTCTGCATTTTCCATCATGCTTGATGACACGATGTTTTATTCTCTCCGTGTAACACTGTCGCATTTAGATGGTGGGGTTAGATTTAGTGTAAATAAGGAAGCACGGATGAGCCCTGCGTGCTGTCAGTGGCTCGTGGTGACGTAATGGTGTGGGGGATATTTGTGCCCCTTAGTACCAATAATTTAAACACAGTCTGACTAAGCATTGTTGCTTCCAACAGGATAAGACGCTATAGCAAAGCTCAGATCATCTCTACCTGGACTCTTGAACATCACCGTACTTAAATGGCTCCATAGTCACTAGATTAAAATCCAACAGAGGACCTTTGGGATGTGTTTGAATGGGAGGCTGTCATCGTGGCATGTGCAGCCAACAACTCTGCAAAAACCGTGTGATGTCTTAGATGATATTCCAACAACAGTGCTTAATCTGTGCTGTGAGTTCACAATGATCACTCAACAGCTGATAATGGGGTTATCCTAAGTCTCAGAACTAGGTGTATTAATTAGAGATGGACCGATCCGATATTACGTATCGGTCCGATACTGACGTAAATTACTGGATCGGATATCAGGGAGAAATAAAAAATGTAATCCGATCCATTCAAGGT